GCCGTCGGATGCGAATGCGTTATCTTATGAGTGAGTATTAGGGGGGGGCAGGGGCGGAACGCCAGATGGGGTTGGTTGGGGAAGAGAATTGCGGGCTGCAGCTGTTGTGAGTTGGTCGTTTGGTTTTACTCTATTAGCCGCACATTTGGAGCTGTCAATTCTTGAGTTTCCATAACCATATATACTTCCTGTTACTATGGCTTGCTGTTTAGTAAGTTTTTCTTTTATCATCATTTTTTGCCAAACAATTTTTAATGGCATTTTGTTAACACTTTAGTGCGCCTTAAACGTTTGTAATGAACAAAAGGAGCCCGGCCAACAGATTCTTGTTCCGGCCCAAAACAATTTAGTTGCAATTTAGTGAATTAGTTGAAAAAAAAAAAATCACAAAAAAACCCCGAGTTAAACTAAGCAAAATAATAACAAACAAATCATATAGATTTTTAAAAATGTTTAAAAACAAAACAAAACAAAAAAATAGAAAAAACCAACCAACATTCACCGAGAACCGAACAACAACAAAAATTTACTCAAATCCCCGAACATTAATTTCAGCAACCGCAATCGTGGTATTTTATTGCATCCATATAACAATGGTAAGCGCAAAAATGCTGCAATTGCAACAACTACAGCAACAACTGCAACAATTGCAATTGCACAAAAACAAAAAAAAAATTAAGTTCTTTAAACGTTATTTTTTGAGTTTACTTCCCAAAATAACATAAATAACATTAAAAAATGAAATTTTTATGAAAAACATTTGTTTGTTTGTTTGTTGTGGCATTTTCTGTTTGAGTTTTTCTTTTCGGCTCACACACAGAAACCAACCATAATCTCTTGATTTCCTCAAAACCTCTAATTGTTATTATTTTGCGCATACTAATTAATTTAATTATGATATTATAATTATAACATTTCGGTATATACATAAACTAATTGTAGCGCAGCATTAAATATTATTATTGTGTACATTTCTTTTCGTAATCGCCACTAAATTCTGAGTTGTGAGTTCTGAATTTTGCCTGCGGCATGCCCAAAAAAAAAAAAAAATAAAATAATATTAACTATATAACTAAAAAAAAAAGAAGAAAACTAACTAATGCGCGCAGCTAAAACCACAAATGCAATGAAGCAACTGTAACAAAAACCAAAATTCGTTTCGTTTTCAATGTATTTTTTTTGGCTGTTTGTAATATGCGGCGCCAACTGAATAGACAACACTCAAAACACTCAAAATCAGAATGGTTATCCATTTCGATTCGTAGTACACTCACATTAGTTCAATACGCAGTTAAAATTACATTGCAATCGTATATCGTATATAGCTATAGCATACAATTAATTGTAGTTATTTAGTTGTTTAGTTTGGGCTAATCTAGAAACGCTTTTGCTGCCTCTTACACACAATTATATATATATTTATATATACTCAGCGTCTGTAGATGAATACATAGTTCCACAACAGTCACACAAAACAATATTTAAGCACACGGAAAATAAAAAATATACACAGACTTGAATTAATTGAAATAAATTATTCAAATTATAAGTTTAAGAGCTACACAAATAGAATTCAGCTTGGGTTGAACTCAAAACTTAAAGGATATTGAGACAAACCCGAAATTCAACTACAAAAGTAGCTTCAGCTAGGCCTTAGTGACTACTTTTTCCAGGCAGTAAAACACTTTTTATGTTTAAGTGGGATTCGAGTGAGAAAAAAAATGTAAAATAAGTAAATTTCTTGACTTAATTCTTCAGTGAAGTATAACATTGTAACTAATTATTTGAATACCTCTCTTATATTTTATTCAATCTATTAAAGTTTAGGGTAAAATATAAAAAAAGTAAGCTACTAAGTAGGGTTCTATTTAAGGCAATAAGTGAATGACATCGTTTATTTATAACTAACTATATATAAATATTTAAACCTTACTCTTCCAGTTTCAAAGCGTTGTTCTCTAACAAAATGCACAAGGCTCCTTTTGTTGATTACAAACTAACAAATTGAGATTGTTAAAAGTAAAAGTTAAAATTGATCAAATTGCCAACAAATGGAAAATCATGAATATATTATTTATAAGTTCCATTTTAAAAACCTCTATGCAAAATTGTAAAATTGTTGTGAAAGTAATTTGTTTTTGTATAACTCTTTTTTATAAACATCTTTATTATAGCATAAGTGATTCGAGTTTAAAAACAACCGAGTGCTGAGTTTCGAACACTGGATGAATCTCAGAGAGTTCGAACCACATTTTTAGCCTCTCATTCAGGCCAAATGGGCAGAGAGTACTTTTTGTTTACATTTCTTTGTTATTTTGTGCTAAGTTTACAATTATTTTTGTACGAAAAAAAGAACATTCCATAAGTATCGTAAAAACCTTTAAAAGCGAGTTTTACGTAACTGCTTAGACCTGCGTGGAGTATAAACATAACACCAACAACAACAACAACCAACAACAACCAACAACAACAACAACAACTGAACAACAACAACAATCGTTTCACACGCAACAAAAGAACGAATCGAATGAAAGACTTTAAAAGAAAAAGGTTACCATAATCAAAGTATTTCCTCACAAATCTTAATCCAAATGATATCGGTGTCTATATAAATTACCCATATAACAGTGTTGTTGTGCCCATGTACTCATATAAGCTGGCCTGGCCGATTGAGCGTATCCATCAAAAAATGTGTGCCTTGCGTCCATCAAATATTTATAATATTACAATTATAATACCCATGCCAACGATATAAACATACTCGTATATACTCGTATACCTAATTATTTTTGACATGCCAAATCTTCAAAAAAAAAAAAAAAAAAAAAAGATTGCTTATTGTTGTTTCAATGTTGTCTAAACGTCGCTTCTTATGTTTTATATGTGCGGGTGTCCCCTTAGGAAAAGACAGAGAACCCAAATACAAACACACTCTGTGTATACCCAAAGGACACACACACACACCCTACCTACACACACACACATACATTGCTTGGTTTTTGGTTAGCTTTAGCTGAGCCGCCTGCTTCGTTTTTATAACGCTGCCCTTGTCCATGCCTTAGAAATTGCCTTAGTAACGCCTTTGTAGAGCCCAACTTGGAGACATGCTTGCCATGTCATATATTGTATATGCCTATATATATTCATAGAGAGAGATCGTTGCTTGCTTTAGTTCGTATATATATAATAATCAACTTTTGTTTGTATAGAAAATGCTTATATATCATTTACATAAAGCTGTACAATAACATCTAACATACTAATATAGCTTGTATATTATTGAATGCTTAACTAACAGTCGACTGTAATTTAGGTTGTCTTTTATAAATATATAAATAGTAAAATGCTTGATGATCATTTTAGTTTAGGGAGATTCTATGATGACTTTAGGAACTGGATGAGCAAAATAATATATTAAACTCTTTTGGATTTATATAACATGTTAGTCAAACAGCATTAAATTCTAAATTAAAATTAAATTCCCTTATTAGAGTTATATGAAATGAATATTCATTGATAATAATTAATAAATTACATATTATAAATGTTAGGAACAAACTGTTATTAACAAGTTTGGTCAATATGTTTGAAAAACCTCAACAATTAAATTGTTCACAAAATAATTTTTTAAGCAAAGCTCTGTATGATATAGTTTTTCAATCGGGCAGACTCTGACATATCTTGTAGATATTTGATTTTTGTAATAGGAGTAAATAGTCCCAGCAAAATACTATATTTTCCCTAAATTTAGTTTTATTTAAATGGATATAAATTTGAAGAATTAAAAACATAAACAGATGAGGATAGGCAGAACATTGATAGGGTTGAAAATTGAATTTCTCAGACTAACAGATAAAGTCAGGTAAGACCCGTATACCTTGTATATAAATAAAAATAAGAGCTGATAAATAAAGGTAGGTAAGATAAGAAACCTGTCAGGTTTATAGATATTTTATATGATCATCAAGCGCTGTACAAATTTACTAACCCCTGTGAAAGAATTCGCCTGCCAATTGCAGCTAATATCTTAAATTTTGTATATTTTTTGCATTTATATAGTCTACGCACCCAATGGTGCTATTCCTGGCCACGAACGCATGATCCAATCGACACCAGCTAGTCCTTACGATCAGCGTCGTTTACCAACTTCATCTGATATGAACGGCCTAGCCGAATCATTAATTGGAGGGGTAAGTATAAAACAAAAAGAACCTAATTGAAATTTGTATACTAAGCGACAATTATTTGTAGGTACTCGCCGCTGAGGGTCTAGGAAAATATTGTGATTCAGAATTTGTGGGAACAGCTGCGCGGGAGATGCGTGAGGCGCTGGACATGACGCCCGAGGAAATGAATTGGGCTGCCCATCAGATATTATCGAATGACCATTCGTTGAGTCTGCTTGGCAGCAGTAATGGCAGCATCTTTGGAGGTGCTGGCGGTGCTGGTGGTGCTGATGGTGCTGGTGGTGGTGTTGGCAGCAGCAGCATTGCTGGTGCATTTGGTGGCAGCGCCAGTGGACCATCATCATTATCGCCAATGCATCAGGGTTCGGGCACTTTACAATCACCACCGATACCAGATAATCGTCTAAGACGAGTTGCCACAATAACGACCACTAATAATAATAAGTCTCAATTTAGCCAAAATAATAATAATACTAATAATATAAATAGTAGAACTAATGCAGCAACGCCTACGACTAGCCAAAGAAACATGTCACCCACACAACAACATCTAATGCAGCTGCAACTACAACTACAACAACAATCGCCTGAACATAACTTGGGCAGTGGTCAGGGTTATCCTGCCACCTCATAGCATACAAACTGTAGTCCATACATGCAAAATGTCTTCTTAATGGAATTTTAAATGTAAAATTTATGAACACTTTTTTTTATAATTTTTGAGAAATAAAAAACAACACTAGTCATAGATATTTCGAGTCAAAAAACAAGCAACATTATGAAAAACTTGTAAAAATCATTGTATGTACTTACTTATATAATTAATGGTTTGCCTTTTTGATAACGTCTATGATGGTTTATCGTCCTGTATGAAGAACCAACAAATAACTGAAAACAAGAAAAAAATAATAATAATTATAATAGCAGACACACTTACACTCACACACAGACACAAAATATTGTATATGAACAAATATATATTTTTTAACAATTGATTGAGTAGTAAAAGAAAACAACCTAATTGATTAATTACTATAGTCACCAATAATAATTATAATTATAATAATAATAATAATTATCTAATTCATCATAATGTGTACATCAATATGGCATCTACTTACATATGCTGTAGGTATTTCGATTTAGACGCATTTTATTTTTTAAGTATTTAATAATTGCGTAAATAAAGCATACAAAATATGGAATTGTTTAATATGTAAAAATGCAAAAACAAAAAACAACAACAAATAAGTAACTAATTAATTTAATAGCGAATTTTCAATGAACGCCCAAACTGAATAAAGAATTGTTATGATTGATTTTATAAAAATAAATAAACAAATTCAAAAATAAACAAATGATATGTTTTTTAATTGAATAACCTATGAAATTGGCAGCCACCTAATAGGATAAGTGAAAGAATTGCACATTAGTTGGGCTTTGACTCTCTTGTAGGCAAATGGTTCAATTTAAATTTCGGTTAATAGTAAAAGAAAATTAAATTCCAGTCACGAATTAATCACTAGAGAAATTTCAGAGAGCCAATAAAGCAATGCAATGACAAATACATATTGTGATATGATACGCGTTAAAGGCTTTCAAATGTCAGCTTTCAATCGTAACATGAATGGTTTAAGCGCTTTTTATCCCATCTTTTTTAATTGATAGAGGCTATAAATGTGAGTGCTGGCGATAAGATTTATTGTTTTATTTAATTTCATTATATTTACAGCAGTTAACACGTACTTTAATTCAATTCTCGTACACTTAAAACGCCGCTAGCCATTTGATATATATAAAAAAGAACTCCATGTTAAAAATAAAAATTAAACACGAAATAGTAAGGATATCTTCGGCACGCCGAATATTAAATATCCTTGCGGACATTTCTCTTTTGCAAATAAATGAGATAAGTAAAGCTCGTAAATGGCTCATGGAAATATCTTGGAAAACAGAATATTCTGCAATAAAAATTCCTACTCTCTTATCAAATTCTATATTATATATGTACGAGGAGTATTGAGAAACTTATAAATGCCGAGTTTGGGTCAAAATATCTCAGAAAAGTTTTCCATACAAGAGTATACTTTTGGACCTTTCGTTCCTATGGCAACTATATGATATAGCTGTCCGCTCCGGCCGGTTCCAACATATGTACTGCCTGCAAAAGAAAGACGGACCTCTGAAAAAATTAAGGATCTAGTTCGCGTAGAAACAGTCAGACAGACGGAAGGACGGACAGTGTAACATGGCTATATCAACTCGGCTGTTGATGCTGATTTAGAATATATATATACTTTAAGGGATCGGAGATGTCTTCTTCTAGGCGTTGCACATTTCATGAGAAAATTATAATAAACTCTAAAAGGGTATACAAATTGCATTTACATCATATACAATTGTTGCACCAACTATCCAAAGCAACGTTTGCCGTGCAGCAGCTGCAGCCGTCAGGCATAGAGAAGACCAGTGGGAAACTGGAGAAGGGCGGCAAACGAGATTAATTAAATAAACACAAATTGATTAAATTAAATTAATAATCGATTTTGACAGCCTCCATTAAATCACTTTCATGTTGTTTAAATGTTTGCTGCATTTATTTTAATTATTTATTTGTTGCTATTGTTATTTTATGTTAGTTATTTAGTTAGTGCTATTTCCGCTTCAATATTGGTATTTTATTTTTATGTATTTGTTTATTTTATTTATTTGCAACTTGAATTTGACCTTCTGCTACTGGCAGCAGTACGTTTATAGCTTGACCAGGACGTGTTAATCTGCCACACCGAGGATTTAGTGGCAACCACCCACCCGCAATAAAACTTTGCAGAGTCGACCACAACACACAGATCGATTTTCTGTCTTGTGCATTTTCTTAACAACACTTTTCCTTTTTATTTTATTTTCATTTCTTTTCTCATTTTTTCTATTCCTATTACGTTTCCCTTTTGCTCTGTGTTGGCCTCTGCACATTGCAATTTGGCGCTTTGGCTGGGGTTTGCCAATGCCATTGTTTGACTTGAGCTAATACGAGCTGAGCTGAGCTGAGGGCAGAGCGTCTGGTGGTGGTGCTGCTGCTGTTTGGCGGAATACAACTGAGATTTCCAAGACGTCCAGCACGTCCGTGGACCATGGACAGCAGCAGAGGGGCAAAAATGTACCAAGATTAAATATTTGCACGGTCAAAATCATCGACAGCTCGGGGAGCTTTGCCTGCACATGGAATATGCAACTAATCATCTGACGTCTACAATGCTCCTCCATAAATATTTCACATGCTCTCATGTAAACCTCTAATGCATTCTGTGCAAATATTCAGCGCGTGTATGCGTGTGTGTGTGTATGTGTGCGAGTGTGTATGTGTGCGAGTGTGTATTTGGTAGCCCTGGAGTATTTGATAAAATAACTAGGGCAGTTTGTTTCGTCTAAGGGGCTTACATAACATTTAATTCATAGTTCCTACATTAGCACTACATAACAGTACTGTCAACTTGATTTTAATGAACAGTGTTGCAAAATTTAAAAAGGGATTGTCAATATCAAAAATGGAAATTCATAGTTGTGTGACAGTGCAAATTGTAGACTGTGTGGAAAGTTCTTTCTAGAAAAAATAAATAGTGTTGCAAAATTGAAAAGGGATAGGCCTAGTATTGGCAAACACAAATACGAAAATTCATAAAAGTGTGACACAGCAAATCGACGACATTATTAAGAGTTTTTTCGAGAAAAAAAATTGTACAAAATTTAATAAAGTCTAGTTTTTCAATATATTAAGTGCATCAAACGAGAGAAAGAATTAAGACCACGAATATCTGAGCTGCGCAAATCTAAAGCTAAGTGCAAAATCTTTAATTATTGATATTTTTATAATAATTTTCTAAACTCCACATTCTTATTATGTTAATTGAAATCTTCAACAAACTCCATATAAAACTTAAATTAACTTTATCAAAGAACCAGTCGAATTGATGTCAATTTTTATGAAGCTTCTTAGGGGCTGCGGGCCGAAAGAGACCATAAATTAAACTATCAAAGGAACTAGTCGCATTGCAATCGAATTGCACGCAGTTATCCAATAAAAGGGTATTATAAAAAAAGTAGCAAGCACTCTCGTCGTCCGCAAGTCTGCAAGATTTAAAGCTGATTCGTAATCCGGCAGATATATAAGTATAAGTGCCCGTTAGCAGACAAGTAATTGCGCGTGGCCAAAAGAAATGTGTAAACAGCACGTTGGGTTACTTTTGGTTAGCAGTGTAGAGGGAAAGGGTCACGTGTGGAGGATAGTCATAGTTAAACGGCCCATTAAACAAGCTGCACACGGCATTTAGTTTTTGCCGCAGGCCTAATTGGCCTCATTATGTGTACACAGGAATTGCTATGCTCATTTGCGATTAACCGCACGTAGAGCATAACTAAAAAAGGCAATAACAACAACAACAAAAGAAAAATATAAACAAGACAGAAAAAATAAATATCGAAGTGCCGAAGTTTCAATACACTTGCAGCTTTAGAAAATGCATGCTTTACAAGGCATAGAAATACATCCTTATTTGACCTTGTTGTACATTATTAATTAATTAATTATTAATATTTTTTTAAGATTTGACTCCTGTATATTTTTGTTGCATTCCCTTAACTTTTTTTTATTAACCTAATGTTAATTTAATAATAATATAAATATTTTTCGATAATTAATTATATATTGAAAACAAGGTATATAAATATGAGTATGTATTATTTCTACTCATTTTTGGTATTTACTTTAATTTAAAAAAGATCTTTTTAATGATTTCAGCTTGATTTTTATAAATAAATGTTTCATTACCAGAACAAATTTCTGATTTATAGAAAAACTTTTTATTCAATTCAGATTCAGATACAGATTTTTACATTGATAAAAAAAAATTTTTAATGTTTGAAAATAATTCATAATAATTTTTGGGAATTATTGTGGTGGAAATTAGAAATAAGATTTGTCCTTGTTTTACGAAATAAATTTCTGGTTTTTAAAAACTTTTCCTTCTTAAGGGCTGTGTTTTGAACATATATGAACTGCGCCTACAAAACTGATAGAATTTGTTGCATAGAAATACAGGCAGAGAGAGAGAGAGAGAGAGAGAGAGATAGAGATACAGATACGTGCTTCACATTCTCTAATACATCAAGTATTTCACAATTCTATTAGTAAGGGTAAGTAATTAAATACCCTTTAAAAACATTTTTTAGACACATTTCAAAACGAACAGAAATACGATTTCTCCCATCAGAGCTGCAATCTAAATTGATTGCAACGGCGAAAAACGATGTTGAGAAAAGCACTTCCATTCAGATTGTCAAGAAACATAATTTATTTACTCGATCAAATGTGTTCTACTACGTTTAACTAACATGCCCCTGTAAGGGTATGAAAAAAGAGATAATTTTTGCTTCAAATCAAGACAAAGTTATGCATGGTATCTCCATATACCCAGTACCCCACTCGAATTTGGTAGAACAATTTTCGCACACTTGCCGCGGGCGAAATCTTTTGTGCTTTTATCAGCCAGACATTTAGAGGGATTCAACTCACGGAATAACCCGCATTTGTATTCCGCTAAAGAACGAGCTAATTTAACGTTGAGTAGAAAATCAAGCCGCAGGTCGAAAAATACCAAAAAAAAAAAAAAATATATGTAAAGAGAAACAGAGAAAAGGTATAGTCAATTGGTACAGCAAAAGTATTAATTACATTTGCCAAGGGGGGCCACACACAGCAAGTGTTGATAAATTAATGCAGGTTATGTTAGCAGCAAAAAAGGTATTCTGCATAGATTCCTAAAATTTCATATCTTGTTACAAACAAATATTTTGAATTCTAAAGTTTGTTTTTTGACAGTTAACGAGGTCGTG